GAGGACAGCAAGAAGCTCCTACGCAGGCTTTGCCTTCATAATTTTCCCAGGAGCTGAGCTGGCAAGCACCTGAGGGCTGTGTCCTGTGTATTTAGTTTCACAGGTAGTTTCCCCTTCAGCAGCAATAGAACCGCTTGAGCACCTGTCACATTTCTGGATGTACAGGGGAGAAGTAATCCTAGAATTTACTTTCACCTTTGCGTATCTGTGGCTTTTCAAAAAGCTTGCAGACACACGCATGAACTAAGCACTACGGTGCTGGGAACGATAAGGATAACAAAACACAGAAAATGAAGTTTTGCAAACTCAGATAGAGCAGCTACGGGAGGAGCAAAGACAGTCACAGCGCTGCTTGTTGAAACAGGACAGGAAATACCTGCATACGGTGCCAATTTATTCACAACTTCTATCCGGTCAATGTAGATCATAACACCACCACTGTAAGTAAAAAGTAGAATTCATGAATTATTACTGCAGCTGTTAACAGCGGTCCGTATTGAAAGCAAAGTCATCTTTTCCTCTCTTCTACTAGATTCTACTAAACCTACCCAGAACAATTCCGACCTCTTGAGCATTTTGCAATTAGATGGCAGCAAACCCCAGCTTTGTACAGACTGGTCCCTCTCTCTGCAGAAATTAAAAGCGTGCTCCAGCAAGTCTACAAAGCACTTTCGCTTCACCTTGTTATCTCCTACTTAGGAAAATGTTTTTGAACAGGAATGGATCTGCAACTGTCAGAAAGGGAGAGTCCAGCACAACGATGGGAAGGCAACAAGGACAGCAGATGACACCTCCAAGCAGCAGAGCAGACACAAACTGCAGATGCACCACAGTTGTTCTAGGCAGCAAATACATTTTAAATAGAAAAGCCCCTAGTTTAAGTTCATGCATTCACTAACTCCAGCAGGAACCTGGCAAGGCCCCTGTTAGAAAGGAAGAAACAAAGCACATACTAGACTTTAATTCACATTCCCTGCATCAATGTCATGTTGCAAACAGCTCTCCAGTAACACCACAACCGTGCACACATGCCCAGGCCTGTGCACTGTCAAGAAGCTCCAGACACCTCATCGGAAGAAGCCTGCAGGCAGTCCTCTCCCCAAGGAGGTCACATGCTGCCAGACCGGCAGAGAAAAGACAGAATCAACAGCATTCCTCATGATCTTCTGAACCTGCTTTCCTCCTCCTGATTTGTTCCAGTCACCTTATGGCATCTCCACCAAGACAGGGAAACCCAGCTACCATCTTCTGGATAACCTGGTGAGGAACCAATGCAGAGCATGTGTGCTTCTTCCACTGCACATCCTTATGTTGGGGTCCTTTTGGCATTTCAATGTTATGGGGATGTTAGAAGGAAAAAGAGAGCACCTAAGACAACCTGCCTCCTACGCACAACTCATCCACAGCCCCTCATCACCTCGCACGCAAGAAAGGCTGGCACCTCAGACCAGAAAGGACTGCCTGCTGCCCATCTGACTCAACCAACGCAGCAACCCTGATGAGGATCTCAACCAGCGTGGGTCAACAGGGTGGGGCATAAGTGAATGATATCAGTCCTGTTGGTCAGGCACTGACTTCGAGGAAACAGGTGCCACTCAGAGCCCAAATACACTGGCCGCCTATTTCCCCACTGAGGGCTTAAAGTTAAACCAAGCCTACAAAGCACTTACACAGCATTTCCCATTCACCCAGCCAGCTGCTGGAGCCATCATTTCACACCGTGCAGTGGGGATGGCCCTCTGGACCTTGCTGCTCTAAACCCAGGAGCCAAACTGAACTGTAAACACTCTGATCTTACAGTGGAGCGTCTTGGACAAGACCTCCTCTCAAACAGCCTAGTCCAGAAGATGTTAGTAAACTCCCGGGGATGCAAGAAATACCGTCCTGGGCAGTTTCGGGACAGTTGCTCTGGCAGAGCACCATCCACTGATTTGGGGTGATTTACACACCTTGTTGACCTGGGACTGTACAAATCCTCTCATCGTCCACAGCTGCTTTACTTGCCCTTCAGCACCTACAGCTTAAACGCTGACTCAAGATAGGTGCTCTCTTCATTTTGACAAGCTACTGTCACTCTCAAAACACCCTCGTTTGCCAAAGCCTGCTTCTTGCCAGATGCAAGGCAGAGTGACTCCCATGGGGAGGTTTTCAGGGCTTGCAACTCTTCCGCTGCAGTTTCTGCAGCCTTTCTAACACTGGCGTTTGCAGCCTCTGTAAAGGCTACTCACACGCCCCAAGGTCCTCACTGCAGAGCTGCTCATGAGTCTGGGCAGGCAGAGCAGCACTGAGCTGCGCAGGCTCTTTGGTTAGGGAGAGAACAAGAAATCCATAGGAAGTCTGAAAGGAGGATCAACAAACACATGCACCTGGGAGAAGTTTAAGCATAATTAGGGAGCAATAGTGCCTAACTTTAGAGGACAAGGTGAAAGCACACAGGGGACTAACATACACTAGCAGGCATTTCAGCAGACCTTAGAAAGGCTCATACATTTCAGCATTTTAGCTTCTGTCAGGCCAGAAGACAAGGGAAAAAACTGAAAGACATTGCGATAAAAAAGGGGCCATAAAAAAAAGGCAAAGGTTTAATGCTTATTGTTAGAGCTGACCACAAACAAGAACAGACCAGGTTAGGCAATCAGAGCATGTAAAAATCGGTATTAAGGGTCAGATCTGGTCTGTTTAGAGATACAGGAATTAATGCAATACATCCACTTGCAATATTCATGACACATTTTTCCACGTGACTGGCTAACAAACAGGGATTTGTCCCAGAGCAGCATTCCTCCAGTGCTCCATTGGCGTTCCTGCCACTGACCCACAGCACAAGCACAAGATGACTCCTGCACCTTTGCAAATAAACATCTAATGCTTGAGCAACATTACTGCCTAGCATCCTGGCTATTTACTGTTTGTAAAAACCTGTACAATATTTAGTATGATTCTTTCCAGTTCAGTTTATAAGAAAAATGCTACTTACCTAATGCTCTCATGCAATATTTGCACAACACCATTTTCAACTCATATATTGTATTCCACAATTAATATACTCAGAAGTGTATTAGTTCTCGATTAATTCTTCAAGTCTGTCCTGTGGAATACCTTGCTCTTCTCATTTTCTATCAGTTTTTGGAGATCAGCAGACCTGCCATAAGGAAACTGCTGAACTTTCCAAGGAACTGTGCACACATTTTCTTGTTGGGGAAAGCCAGACACCTCAGACACCAGAGGCAATTCACAGCTTAGAGCAGACTCATATTCTACCTGCTGTAATGAAATGGTTTTTGTCTCTGGGGTGACAGCTGTTTTATGAAAAACAGTCATCTGGTGCCAAAGTATTTTAAAATCTGTATTTAATGTATTCACTTAATGCTGTCAAGAATAAATGGGACCGGCAAGGCAGAAATTGGGGATGGGACACCCACACCGCCATTCAGAAGCTTCCTAATGTAGATGAGGATATAGGGAACAGGAATAAGGTGGAAGAGAAACCCAGCCTTTAAAATCTGATGGTTTAACATACAATTACAGAAATTTAAACTGTTTAGGATCTATTCTTGTAATGAACTTTGAAACAGAATAGTGAAATTTCAGAGCTGATAAATTCTTTATTTATAAGCTAATGCTTTATTATGGAAATGTGAATTCAAAGCTTTGGCATGGAGCAGCTGCAGACTTTGATTCCAAATGCAGCATATTTAAAGGCTCCTGCAGTAACACCTTAAAAATGAACAGGGCTGCTGGGACCTTTGGTCTGAAGTGTATTCAATTATTAACTAAGAACTGCTTCACCAGCTGCTTAGTGTTTTAAAGCATGTTCATTACCTGTAACTTCACAACCACCTGCACTGCACAACTGAATCCCACAATGCTGAAATGTAACAGGAACTTAACAAACTAACTATACCAGAACCAAACCAGAATATTTAGCTCCTAAATCACAGACGCACAGAATGGTCAAGGCTGGCAGGGACCTCTGGAGGTCATCTTATCCAACCTCCCTGCTCAAGCAGGGCCAAGGCAGCACAGTTTAATTTTGACTGTGTTAGCATTTCTAATGCGGTTAACCTTCAGCAGAAAGCTTTGCTCAGTCAGTTAAGAAGGCAGGGACAGCAGGACACTATCCCTGGCGCAGAGATTTTTTACAACATTTTACAACATCCAGAAGGTAAAGTATTACTCCTGTTTATGTTACTTATGAGCTAAAAGTTGCCATTAAACACATCACTAAAACTCTGCTCTGATAACTTATTTTTAACTGTGCCTCTTAAAAGATGCTGATATAGAACATAATGAGTCTTACTGCTCCTTCCTGCAATTACTTTTCGCTTGACCTAAAGACTCTTCACCTGACCACAAAGCCCAGGCTGCAGCACTGAACAGCAGCATTATTTATAGACTCTCTGAAAGAGGTTTGAGATCCAAACCTAAAATCAGCTAGGGCCCATGAAAACTTTATGTTAATATTTAAGCCCAAGTAATGTCTGATGAGTTACTATAGGAATAATTCCAAGAACTCATTTCAGTAAGGGCTAAACCAGATCAAAATTAACTCTGCCTCATTAATGTTGCCACTAACATTCAACTTTTAATTTCAACATGGCCATTAAGTGTCATCGTTCAAGTCATACTGACCTTTTTTTTTTCAAAAAAAAAAAAACCAACAGAAATACCGTAGAGTGCCCTAAAGCTAAAAGGCAAGGAGAATCACCAGTTTTGTTCTTATCCTGAAGAAACAGATTCAGTCATCGCTTCAACTTGTGAGTGAACCAACACAACAGGATCTGCAACCCAGCTCAACTAGCCCTCTCTTTGTTACTGTTCTGCTCGTTAAAACTACACAGATCTGTGCTGACAAAAGGATCAGCTTAATTATGAAGCAGGCGGGTGCCGCCCATGCAGGGGATTTTATTTATTCTTTCTCGCTCTCTCTTTACATCAGGAGAAATGTCAATTCCAAAAATGCCCAAGCAATTCCAGGAGACTCATTTTCTTGAGCTGAACATCAATTCCAGCAAGAGCAAGAGCACTCCCTCCCATACCTCCTGCTCCATTATTTCCAAGTGTGATGTATGTGTGGATGTTTGGGACTAATTTTAGGGTATATGCCTTTACTTTTCAGCCTCTGTATCACAGCACTGTAAATGACTAGCTGCAAACTACACAACAGAGTGCATCTGCTCATCAACAGAAGAAATAAAGTCAAAACATACCTTGTCCCACAAGGCACATTTTTCACTTCATCCGTCTGTAATGTGGTCTGAAATAAAAAAAACACCCAATCAGTACTCACAGAACCTCTCCATTCTTCAGGAAGATCATGCTGTGCCCAGACTTTCACAATTGTTATACAGCAACATGGAGCCAAAACCATGCCCTCTGCCTCCCGTGTGGGCAGAAGATGGACTTCTTTTCAACTTGCCTTTTGGGAGACAGAAAGGCAGCTGTGCTCATTTCCCTACTCACAGCTCCTGCAGCGCTAAGGCCTGCAGCTCTCCTGGGAAACAATTTGGGCCACAAACACAGACTGTCCTCCCAGAGCAAGATATCTGCTGTCCCAAGCAACACACACACGTTGTGGTGATTCCACCAAAAGGACAAGTCCCAGCACACAGATGGGTCCGGCACCTAAGGCAGAAGGAACCAAGGGCTTCCTAGGAGCTGCCGCTCTGACTACCACATTACTGAGCCCCTCTGCAAACACCAGTTGCCCATATCACTCCCATCCAACAGTAGCCCTACCAACATCTGCTCCCACGCACCCTCTTCCAAGATGAGAAGACACTAACCTGCACGGATTTGAACGTGGTAATGAACGGGAGCATGATGTGGTAGCCCGGTCCACTCGGACTAGTTAACAATGCACCACCCCTACAGAGAGAGAGAAAAACGGGGAAAAGGCTCAAGCAACTGGAAAATAGTAAGTGCTGGCTTGGAGAGCAAGCAAGTACATTCCAACTACCAGGTTACTCACCTGTACCAAATTTGCCACCGATTCCCCTACAAGAGGGCTGACTACATACGATACTTGCCTGCTGCAACTCAACAATCATTTGCTTCAATCCTGTGAGTAATTAACTTTTAGAGAAGGCAGAAATTGCTAAAATCTTCTGTCATTACAACATTGCAGAGAGCTCCAAGAACACAGATTTTCCTCTCTAAATAGTTCACTATTGGAACATGGAAAAATCCAGCAGTTGATGTGATGCCACCATTTTGGATTTCCACAAGGCATTCGGCACAGTCCCTTACCCACAGCACAGAGAAAACCCAGTCTGTTGCGGGGACTGGCAGGTGGTTAAAAGAGAGCTCTAAGTGATCAATCCTCGTACTGCAGTAAGGTTTCCCACAGCGTCCCACAAGGGCCTGTGCTGTTCGAAATGCTAGTAATGAAAGGAAAGAGCAGCGCAAAGGAAACTGGCCCATGGTGGTGAATGCAAAGGGTAGAAAAGACAGGACAGAAATCTAGCACATATGGGAAAAAATGCAGAAAGGTTAGTACTGAATTTCCCTATTCCTTTATTCAAATTTGAAGCAAAACCTAGTCAGGAGGTGGCACTTAGTGACCATGACCACTCACTGTTACGGACTGACAATGAGTGGCTCTACAGATGCTACTCAGGGCAGCTACAAGACCCAGGTGAAACTCAGCCCAGGGCCGGGGAGAATACCCATTTCAAAGCAACAACAAAGTGGGTGCTCTGGCTGGCCAACAGTCTTAGGACAGAGGCAATGGCCCTTGATACAAGGGGGAAAGCTCAACAGATGCGAAAAGGCTGGATGGAGCAAGAACTTTGGTCCTCTAAGCTCTAAAATCCAAACTGTGACACAGAAAAGGGGCGGAAGGAGAGGGAGGAAAAGTAGCTGAGGATTTAGAAAGACCAAAACTTGTAATGGTTCTGCACTGAGCCAGGCTATCCAGGCCCATGTCATTTCTGGTGCGAGAGAGCAGAAGCAATAGGGTCTGCCTGCCTCGGGGCAAAACCTGGAGGGAAAACCAGGAGAAAGCCGTCACGTCCCGAGGTGACATGGGGCCAGGGATGGATCTCGGCTGCGAGACAGACTTAGGGAAGGCTGCGGAAGCCATCGAGGCGCTGGCAGGGAACGGTACCTGTAATACACAGCCAGGTGCCCCTCCTCAACCTTGTGGATAGAGGAGTACAGGAAGAAGACGAGGAGTCCCGTGGCAGCCGCAGCTAGGGCTCCAGCCTGGGCCATGGTCATCCTCGCGTCACCCGCGGGGCGCAGACCCTCACCACCCGCAGCAGCGTGTCGCCTGGACGACGGGGCGCCGTTTCTCCGCGGTCTGCACCAAGATCTTCGCTTTCTTCCCTCTCTGACGACGTCTCCGCCCCTTTTCCAACAACAAAACCTTCTCAGCTTTTGGACCAAAACCCCAGGGAGTATCCTCTAAGCGCCCGGCGGACCGCGGAGCCGCCGCCTCCTCTCCCCGAAGCCGCGTTACCCCCTCACGCTCA